TGGGATCGATCACAAAAGTGGCCAATGCATCAAATTAAGTATAACATATCATTGAGCCAGCTTCAGCAATCATGTGATCTTCAAAACCATTCTCCAATAGGTGATAGTAATAATAATCCAGCCATATTGGGTCACCACTACCTTCAGAATAAGGCTTCAACATGACCAATCAATCGGTGAGGGTGGACACAGATCCTAAACCTGGATTACCCAATTGAAATTCTCATTCTAACCACCTACAAAGCCATATTGTAAAGGACCACTTGTGTTGGTATTCAGGTAGGTTGCACATATTCTTCAAGTTCCTAAAACAACATTCATTTCTCATACAAATTTCTGACTCATGGATAAGTATTGAATTTTGAATATGGATCCCAAAAGAATAAGTGGAACAAAAGTACAAGTCTATGGTCAAATAAATAACTTATGGGAGCCTTTATCATATTCATCAAGAATTAATAATAAAAGAAAATATCCGCTCTAAGCAAGGTTTTAAGAACTAAATTTCACCTATATTTGGTGAAGCTCTTGGGAAAACCCACAAATGCACCGGTATGTACTGGAGAAAGGCCTCAATGTTGAGGAAATCAGCATAATTTATAAGATCTCTGATAATGGGCCTAAACCCTAAACTAGAGTAATCTGTCCCTCACCGAAACCATATTAGCTTACTTGCAGGTTTATGAGAGGCTGGCAAAAAGAAGATGGGGTAAGAATTGCATGCCATAAAAGGGCATGCTACACTTAGAAGATTTGGACATGCATTGTGCTAAGTCATGGCAGCAATGCCAAAACCAGTTTTTGGCTAGTGGCATCAAAAGAGTTTGCTGAACATAGTACAGTTCATTCCATGCTAGAAAATTATCGACATGTCTTCATGACACAAATAACGAAAAAACTTAAGTTGGAGATGATGTCGAGGAGTCGATAATCCCATCTACATAATTTGAAGATGGTGCATGAACCGAGGAGCAATATTTTACACATACCATCCAAGATTCAGATCATAGAGCTCGACAAGAAACTAGTCAAATTTATAAACAGAAGGGGAAGGGGAAGGTACTAGATGAATTTGAGCAGATGTGACAACCTACATGACATAAACACAGAGGGAAGCTCATCGTATTAATAGTCGTCGTATTATGGAGAATCTTATGGCCAATAGCAATACGGTGATAGTTAGTCATACTTCTCCAAACAGTAGTATGGTGATCGATCTTATGATATAGAACAATAAATCAATGACGAAAGTAGTTCTGACATTCTCCATGTTCCATGCCAATACATGTCACAATTATCCTTGCTTGAGAAGCTGCCTCGCACACATGTGATTCACGACGATTAGACTATGACCATCACCACATTGATACACCAATGTCATACAGTGTATCGATATACTATATCACGGAATCATTTTTAAAATTGGGTCCGACAAACATATCAAATTGATATACAAATACATAGGATCGAGGACCTCGATCCACCACCCATGGAGTCTTATCATTCCTTTTGATAGTAAAACCAAGTATACCCATTGGTTGAATACTTAATTCATTTGAATCTTAAAATTTAAATTATTTAAAAGATAATCTAATAATTCAAATTATTTCTTTGTATTCAATATTAATAGAAGGAAGGCTTGAAACGTACCACAAAGCTACTCCTCAAAGCCTAGAAAAGATATGTCATCGTTTCCAACTTAAAAACCCTAATCCAACTTTTTTTTATTTTTAGGAATTTTTTGAGCTATTTTTGGTAATTTTACCATATCGTTAGTACGCCCAAGCAAACCGACATACGATATCTCGATATGCCATAGTACATACCATACCAATAGTTGGTCGGTACATTGGTACAAACCAATAAAGAAATCCTTTATATATATGTATATGTATGTATGTATGTATATATGTGTGTATATATATATGTATATATGTATATATATATGTATGTATTTGTATCTATACATATATATATGTATGTATATATATATATGTATGTATATATATATATGTATGTATATAAACATATATATATGTATATATACATATACATGTATATATATGTGACATATATATACATGTATATATATATATACATATATATACATATATATACATATATATACATATATATATATATACACATATATATATATATATGTATATAAACATATATATGTATATATATGTATATTTATGTATATATATACATACATATATATACACATATATATATATAATTGAATCGAACTATATAATATAATATGATATATTTATATTTAATTGATCCAAACCAAACCACTAAATATGAGTCGGATCCACGTACCGATTCATGTATTGACCAATAAATACTGATTCACATCAGAACCAGTAAATACCGGTCCATACATATCGATCTCATCCAAAAGGAGTTTAACTGCTATAGGCATGCTAAGTGGATTGAACTATCAATTTAAGTTTATGTAAGTTAAATAAGGCTGATGTTCATCCCTTTTTAAAAGTTGATCTACTAGCATAACAAACCATCTGATGTACCATCCAGACTTGAAGCTTGCAAACATAATCACTCGTAGTTCATATTTAGAATATTTAGAAAATCAGTTAAGCTGTGCCAACATGTAGTTACAAAGTCTTTGTTTACAAATTAGAGAACCAAGTAGATATCTTAGAGCTAAAAAAAACACTACACAATATTTTGAACAAATTACAATTTACCATTTTCTTCTAGCCCGTCCTTTATGATTCTTATAAGTTATAATCATATAGTTGCACATATATGATCCAGAAAATGAGATATTGGACGTACACGCTTGCATGGGTCAGATCATGCATGTGCAAACTGCAAAATTAGCACATACCAAACAACGCCAAATAAACCTTTTGACACTTAAAGCATATTTAAATATCATGCAAAATCTATGGACAAGAAAAGCTAAACTTAATAAAATAGGTTGATGATTAACACAGGCCTTTCTTCCAACCAGGTGGGATCGGATCCTTCCCTAACATTTAGCTGTAATAAGGGAAATATTCTCAAATAACTCAAGGTTGATAGTTGATGCATGCATAATATAATGGACATAAAGCTTATAAAAAATGACTGGACCTCCAAAGAGAAAATATAATACGATCAAAGGAAGAAAGGATATGAAAAGAATGATACTAATGCATGAAAGCAATATGCAATCTCATTATGAGACAAATCAAAATAGTTTGTGGCAGAGAAGGAACTACCAAAGAGCCACTAGTTTAAGAGAGCATGTCATAGAGCTTGCAGAATTCCAATGCATGAAATTTTAAAGACAAATGAGATAAGAACAGGCCAAGACAGCTACCAACAAGGCAAGACTAGAGGTAAATGACAATTTTAGCATTCAGTAAAGACAAGAACCAAGAATGATGTAACCCAAGCATGCTGATGTAAGATTTAAAGCAATGCAGCTGAATGAGGGAAAAGCACATGCATACTTGAATATTACAACAAAAGAGTTATTAATAGATGCAAAAGCTATTATGTAGGTGAACATATCAACCATACTATTATGAACTTGTGAGAGCGTGGTTGAACAAAGATCAAATTATAGTTCAGAGTTGGAATGCAATTAAAGAGGTCCCAATGGTTAAACTGAGTCAATTTGACTGATGGAATCTGGTACCAATCAAGATCCGACTGTTACGGACTTGTGCTGATCGATAATGGTCGAATTTCAACCGTATTAGATGGTACAAAGGGTGTATCACCCAGTATGCCTTATATTGGGTCTGAACTGACCACTTTGACCCTGTTTCAGGTAGCAGCAGCTGACCGGAGCAGTAAATATCCGTGATTCCATATTGTGCCACCCGGAAGTCATTCCATGGTAATGCAACATACCCGAAAACCAGATCAGTATTATGCCAGAAAGATCAATCAAGAAAGCGAATTTCTTGAACAACTGATTAAGGATCAATAGAAGAGATTGACATTTTCCCTTCTCTACAACAAGCATATGCACTAGTAGTTATTGAACAAGCCTGTATTTGCATAGTCATTGATGAACCTATGATTAAATCCAATAAGGTCAGAGATTCTAAGCCACTGTACCATAATATGTTAACATTTTTTTCAAATGACCTACAAATGATAGCATATTACCCAGATATCATGCTGTTCTTTTACATATAAAATACAACCACAATAACAACAGGCAATAATATCCCAACAATTTGGGGTCAGCTACAATGGTTTCTTCTCCCCATTCTCTGTATAGAAAAATGTCTTTGGTTTAGATAGGATCAATCAAATCCAAAATGACAATCATGGGACATACATATCCACCCGAATGGTTTACAGTTGATAAAATAAGGGCAAAGAGAAGATAGTAGGTAGCTTTCAGCAATGGGAGAAAACTTACATGAGATTGAGTCGGATAGGGCAACAGAATCAAGGCAATAGTTTGTTCTTGTTCACGAAATATGAAGCTTCATGAAGCTCATAGCACCAGTATAATTATGAAAGTTGCAAGTCTATTGCTACATAATTGTTACAGTCATATTTGCCATAGTTTACTTTTATCAATATTTTGTCATATTGGTATCCACATCCGTACCCATTAAAATATTTCTTATTTGCTTGCTAGAGCAACAAAAGATGAAAAATTGAAGTTCTTTGAAAAACTAATTGACAAAAATTATGAATTAAAGAAGTATGGAGGATGAGTTTATTTAAATTGACGGTGCTACTTGCTTCCAAAAAATTGAAGGTGCTATAGACAGGAAAGAATGACCAAAGAGGGAGGAAAACAAAGATAAAACAAGGCTTTCATAGATTCTTCATGGAGGGATGCAATAATCATTAGTCTAATGGACCACCAAAATCTCATAAAATATTGCAGATCATTCATAGAAGTCAAAATATGAGCACCAATAAAGGAAACCTAACAAAATTTTCTAGATGACATCCCAAATGAAGAAACAAATAGAGATTTTTCTCAACAAAGATATTTCAGTAGATAATACCTGAACACCTTGCTTAGCTTTTGCCTCTAACATAGCATCAAGTCGTGAAGACCCATGAACACTAAATGGCCGTCGGAGATACAATTCTGGGCACAACCACCAACCAGTAATGAATATCTGCAATGGACTTCCAATCAACTTAGGATTCTGAACTTCAGATCAACATGCCATCTATTAGTGATTAGCATTATTTTCTATGAACCTTATGTACCTCGGATTTTGCTTCTTCAATTGAAGAAGCAATTGCTCCAAAAGCAGCTTCGCCATCAATGAACCATTGAACAAAACTATCATCGTCAGTTAGACCTCTTGGTGGTGCAAAGGAACCAAAGCGGTGCGGATAACACCAACCCTCTGGAGGCCTTAACCCAGCATCATTTATTGCAGCAACCCAATCTTTAACCTTTGCATTACTTCTAGTCCTTATCTTTACTGTCCGGTTCCCACAAGATATCTTGAGAAACATTTTTTATTAAACATTAGATGAGTTCTAAATTTATAAAGTATAATAAAAAAAATTCTAAGCTAATAATGAAGATTGGAACAGATGATAGGAAGTGAATTAAATTTCCAAATTACAATCATTTAAGTACTTATATTATAGAAAATGACAATATATATTATTTCTGATCAAATCACTCCAGAAATAATTCGATAATATGATTAGGCAATAACAAGATAACAACATAATTCGTGGCAAGGCCTAATTTCAGCCAAACATGTGACGATTAAGCATGATAAACAAACGATGCATATATTTAACAAGCCATAAGGAAATTGCAATATAGCCACACAAGAAGAAGATGAACCCATGGCATTTAAATTGACAAAAAAAGATAAAAAAAATAAAATATTCTATTCTTCCATTCATTTACTTGTTTGCCTTGAGATGCCCAGTAGTCATCTAGACCAGTTTTCACTTTTACAACATCAATTCACTTTTGTCCAACTAGAATACTATAAACCAGATACATTTAATAGCAACCAAATAATTAGGACATCAAATTTGATGCAACACAGAAGCCATGATGCAAAGAGTTTAGATTTGTTTTTCTTTTCAAGGTTTTCAGGAGCTAAATCTTAATTTGGTTGAGGATTTGCCATAAGATTTAAAACTATGAGCATTCCAGATAGTGCAAAAAAAGAAAAAGATTCTGAGATTACATTTTTATTTTTTTATTGAAATGGGCCAAAATCAGCCATGATTGGCTGGAATGTAAGAATAGACATCACAAATTATCTAGACTATTTGGATTGGTTGATTCGACCAACAACCAAAAAGATGAGGTTGTCAGGATCGGGCTCAACTGATCCTAATACCAAGTGACAGGCAAGGATTGAGATAGGTTGAACTCATAAGCCATATTTAAGGATTTCTCTACAGCACATATTGCCCTATATGTAACATTACAGTATTAAATTTAGTCATCAAGTTGGTGCCTTTTCAAGATCTATTAGATTTTCACATTTTGCCAACCAATTTCTAGTCCAGATATATCTAGTTCTTCGAACACTATATAATGCAAGGTCTTATTTATAGATTGAAGCAAGAGGACATCTAGTATCACTCGTAGCATGACAAAAAGCATAATAATGTAGAGCAAATCATTTTATCATAGGATATAACTCATGGAGAAACTTGCCCCAAGTTGTAGCATCAAGAGGGTCTAGAGGCACCTTTTTATAGTTTGCAAGATCAAAATCAGATTTAATACAATGATTACCATTCTAAGATACAAATAAAATCAACATATAAAAGACAGAAAATGTGTAGAGTATAACAATAAAAAAATAGAATAATTGTTGAAAAATATTTACTAAATGTAGTAAATAACTTCTGTATATCAAAACAAAAATGAACCTTTGTGGTTTTGCAAAGAACGACAGATCTAATTATAATACTTAAGCTTCTCGAATTACCATGCAAGTCAACTGATAAGTAATGTAAAGATAAATAAAGAAAAACTTTGTTCAAAGATAGTGCCCATAGAATTCAAAATTGATAGTGAATATTGTTATATTTTATTTCACCAACATAACATATCATTTATCTTCCCCTTTCCTTTTCCGATATCCTTTCCAATCTGCTTAACAATGGTTGAAAGATATAGAAAGCTATTCATTCAAAGCAATATGGAGAACATTTCCTATTCATCTTTCAGTCTCCAATATTTCATCTATCTTGTTGTTTCATCTCATCATTATCTTCTAATTCAATCTTTGATCCATGGTATGCAATTTTAAATGGTACTGCCCGGTACGGGCGGTACGTACCGCTCCGACGGCATACCGGTACGTGGACCGCCAGCTACCGGACGGACCGTGCTACAGTACTACAGTAATACAGTATAGCAGTGCTACAATTGTACACTGTAGAGTACTACAGTGCTACAGTAAGAGGAAATAGCTCGGTAAGCCCTAGTATACCGTTGGGTACGCCATGGTGTACCACTCGGTACGCCGGTACCATACCATACCGAGCCAACCTCGAAATACCGGTACGGTATTGTATTGCATACCTTGCATTGATCATCTTGTTGTTCCTTTTATCGTCTTCTAAAGGGAAAAAAAACACAATTCTTTTTGTTTGTATTTTCACATATTGATGAACTCTTTATCTTTCTTTTACCTTTTCTAAACTAACATCATGAAAAGGAAAAACTACATATAAATACCAAGAGGTAGAGGGACAGAAGGAAATGAGGGACGAAGACAAGTACAACGAGGAAGAGAACCAGTAGAACCAACAATCATACAAGAGAACAGGGTTAACAAGGTCAACACATTCCAAAGTTAGCTCATACAAAAGCTCATTTTCATTAACACTGAGAACCATGAGCAATGTGAAATTTATAGTTCTTCGTTGCCTCTTACCCCTAATCTCTTTCATTTCTTTCCCACATTATAAGAATTTTGAATGGCAAGAGAAAGATATTCTATGTCATCCATTAGGTAGTTTAAGCCTGCACAGTTATATAAGGTAGGGTAGATTACATGAAACCAGATTCATGAATAGAACTATAAGTCGTCCTATATGCAAGGTTCGCAATACCGTACCGTACCGGTATTTCGACCTGGGCTCGGTACCGGTACGGTACGGTATACCGAGCGGTATACCTAGGTGTACTGAGCGGTACACCCAGGTGTGCCGAGTACTGTAGCACTGTAGCAGTGCTACAGTGCACTCGGACCGGTAACAGACGGTCCGCGTACCGACAATCTGTCGGACCGGTACATACCGCCCGTACCGGGCGGTACAGTTCGGTACGACAGACCCTGCCCATATGGGTTAGCTTAGAAGTACAATAGTCTCATACAAATAAATTATGAGAGATTGAATGTTACTAAAGACTATAGAGGACAAAATTGTTCAAATCATCCATATACCTTCAAGATACATGGAAAAGGAAATAAAATGTCAAAAAATCTCCTTGATTATTTTGATGTAAAGAGAACCTCTAGTTAACTATGGTCTCCTCATGTAAATTTGATTTGACAATAAACTCAACCAGATCACATAAAGTTTAAAGTTAATATTAGCCAAAAATTTGTACCACCCTAAGGGAGACTCTGTCTTATGCATCAAAGTGATATCAAACAGAAAATTTAAATTTTTATAGCGAAACAGGAATGAGGGATGAATTTGAGTGATCTTACTTGAAAGCCAAAACGCAGAGGATTCCGTTCCTTGGTCTCTTTTGCTAAAAGAACTCTGCCTTCCCCATTTCCGTCTGAAGATGGCAGTACATCAAAAACAATTATATCCAAAAGATTTGTGTCAAAAGGATCTTCAAGCAAAGCCAAGAATCCAGGTTTCAGTACAGCCCAGACCTGTAAATGATTTTAGGTTAATTCATTTCACCAATAAGTCATGTATATGGGAAAATCAACCTTAAACAAGAAATGCTTTCACATAGTATGAACAAAAAGAAAAATGCATAAGAGAAGATGCATCCACAATCATCTTAACATATAATACAAACGGGCAAGGCTTATAAAGTGAGAACAAAAAACAAAGAAATTTCATGTGATAACTTCAGGAAGGAAAATAACATCTCTACGTCATGAAGGCCAGCTACTCACTGATTGAAGCCAAAGTCTAAATTCTTCCTTAACTTCTACAGGGAGTTTAAAAGCCTTCCAGCAAATGGTGGTAAAATTAATTGGAGAGAAATATACTCAAGCAACATCACAATCCCACCTATTTCTGATTCTTACATTTTAGAAAGCATGATCAAACAGGTTGAGTCAAGAAAGACTCTTGACCAGTAAATACCAGTTTTGCCAATTAGTACGGCCAAATTTTAAAACTTTTGATATTATCCTAAATGGCTAGAGACATTTCTTTTCAGACACTATACATTTTAATTTTTAAAAACTGACATTACCACTATCTACCATTTTCCTAATACTTCAATGTTAAAATAACATTATTTATAAATCATTATTTTATTTTCAATAAGTAAAACTTGGTATATTATTTTAATTCCTGCTTTTCGAGTCATTAAATCATTAAAATCATGCTAAAATAACCAATTAATCAAGAACACATACAACCATCATCTGGGAGAATTTCTGAGAGCTTACAATCATAAATTGGATCATAACAGTTACCTTTTGCCAGCTGCCATCACAACAACTGAAAAAATGGCAGGGACAACAGCTTCTATCATCATCATCCTTTTGAAGTTTTGGCAAATGTCTCACTGTAACGTAATCTTCTTTTAGCTTAGGTCCATACTCGGGCAAAAATGATAGGCTTGAGACCTCCAAAAACTTACAAACCTGCCAAATATGCTCAAAGGCTCCATAAGTTTGAAATTATGGCAAATAAGATCTACTCCATCTAAGGCCTGATTCATTTTTAAAAAATTGAAACATGCTGCAAAATCACAATGTATAGGATATCCTATTGAAGGACATTTGGAGACAAGCAAAGCAAAACATTTTTGACATATTACGTTACTATTGGCTGCTATATCCAATCAATGGTGTAAATAATCAGTGAACATCCTGAGTAAATTACTACTCATGTTAAAGAAAGAGCAATGATACAGAAACAGGTATGCAAGTAGTAGAAATCTATGACATGGAGTAACTGTCATAAAAAATCATATTTTATTTAGATAAACGATGTCAAGTAAGTCTTCTATATTTCCAATAATCTGTTCTTGAGTTCTTAATAGAATATAGGATGCATATACCTCTTGAGAATTCACAATATCCAAGTTCCCCAAAAAATGATTCAAATAACCTCGCATAGCAACTTTTGCCCTGTCAGAAATAGAATGCTGTCTTCCTAGAGCAGGCCGAATAATTGGCAGTGCAGCACTAGAAGGCACATTTCTGCACAAAGATTGAATTGTGTTACAATAGCTTTAAGAGAGGTCATAACAAACACTCAATATAATTATATCACATAACTCTGGTTTACTAAAGTCCAAACAGACAATTCCTATCATCACGTGTGAATGTTTTATTGTGGTTAAGGAAGCCATCAGTAAGTAATTGGTGTGCCATCTGAAATAAGATAGATTCAAGCATGTTAAGATGGATGTGCAGTGAAACTAGAAAAAAAAAATACTAAAATAGAAAACATAATAATATTTCCCCGAATTCTAGATTTTAGAGGCAAGGTTTTCAACACTATTTAGTACAGATTCAACCTTTGGGGTCCCTTTTTTAAAATTAATTTCTCCACTCACTCTCGTTCCTTCCCCCTCACCAAAATTCTCCCGAATCCCACTCAAATATCTATTAAATTCAAACAAAAGTTGGAGAGATCCAACTTCTCAATGAGAAGATTGAAATTGAATATAAGACTTTTCTTCAAAATTAGGTAAATCCTAGCCTACTTTGTTAGCTTAATTTTTTAATTTGGGTTTAGCTATATCAAAATTAGTATTATTATTTTCGTGATTCTTTATATTCTACTCAATTTGGGGCTTGACCCGCAAAGATCAAGTCTTGATCCATGTGTATCTATTCTACATGACAACTACCTTGATGAGCAGATCAAGAAATCAGAGATTGGATTAAGCCATTCAAGAAGCAATGAGATCTCTTGGCATTACAATGATGAGTGACAGTTGTACTAGGCAAGGATTGAAATACCGTACCGTACCGATGTTTCAAGCTTAGCTCGGTACCGTACCGTACCATGTACCGAGTGGTACGCCGGGGCGTACCGAGCGGTACACCTAATTTAGGTGTAAAATCCTCCGAAAATACCAGAAAATAAAAAAAATTAGGATAGGGTTTTTAAGTTAGAATTAAATATAGTAATAGTATAAGTTTAGCAAAATCAATGTAAATTAGGTAAGAATAGTATCATATATCTTTTCCGGGCTTTGAGGAATAGTCTTGTGCAAGGTTCGTATTTCAGTCCATTACGGATTGTCCTTTTGTAAATATTGAAATATCTATAGAAAAATAATTTGAATTGTTAGACTATTTTGTTACAATATAAACTCTAAAATTCAAAATAATCACATATGTAAATATACTTGATTGCTGATTCTACCAGCAAAACGAACGACGAGCCTCCACGGGTGGTAGATCGGGGTCCTCAATCCTATACATCTGCATATCAATATGATATATTTGTTGGACCTAATCATGAAATTGATCCCACGACATAGTGTATTAATGCACGGTATGTCGTTGATGCATCAATGTGGTGATGATCGTAGGTTGATCATCATGAATCACATTTGTTCGAGACAACTCCTGAGGCATATATTGGTGACTGTCAGAGCTTCTACTTTTGCTACTGATCTGCTGCTCTGTATCATACTATTACTTAGATAAAAATAGAATATTTTTAGGGTCCCAGATGATAGAAACCCTTAAAAACAGTGTACCAAACCCATACCGACATGCGGCCTGCACATGCCAGACCTATATGGTCTGACCAGGGACTAGTAAAGGTCCAGTACTCGAACCTTAAAACCATGCATTTGATTATATTTTAGAATATCCAGATATGTCCCTGCATATGCACCTGGATATCTGGCACCTTAACCAATTACATATCATGACCACTTGATGAGAACATTCGACATTGTAAAAAAAATCAAGATAGACCATGTTTGTTATGAATGTATTTTAAGAGTTAAATCTGGATTTTAAAAAGACAGTGCAAGTTAATCAACCCAATAGCCTAAGATTGCATATGTTAGTTGAATTCAGAAAAATGAGTAGAATGAAAGTTCAGAACTTCTACAAACAGTTAACACACTTTTAAAAGTGCAAACAAAGATTAATCAACCGACACAAAATAATTGAATTTGGTAAAGAGGATGCAGGCATTAGTAAGTTGTTTGTAGTGATGATCTTTTATATATCAAACATGAATAGGATTACAGTAATAAATCTAAACAGCACACATATTTTAAGAAGGAAATTTTAGCTTTCAGGTTCATCCAACAGTATCTATGATGAAAATTTCCATCAAAAACCTGGGACATTATCCACTTCAAGCTTTTTACTGGACCAATTATTTGTTGCATTTATAAGTATTACCGTTTGAAGCTAATAAAGGGAGTGTTAGATTAAGAATGGCAACAACCACCTATTTTTAGCTGACAAGTGCTCCTCTTGCAGTAAAGGAACAGGCTCATCATCAGCTTCATCATCATCTTGCACAATAGGTGCATGCTCCCCTAGGCCAAGATTTTGAAGCCATTCTTTAACCTTCATGCAAAAGGAAAGGAGAAAACTAATATCAAATTCACGTAACTGATATACATGATTTATAACACTGTCCTACTGTTTTCAAAATAAATTCATATTCAAGAGATAAATAAGAATCGAATTGCGAAATGGAAAAACAGTACGATGCCTGTAACAATGTATAGAGAACTCCATGCTTCAAATAAATAAGGAGAAATGTCAAAAGATGTATACTAGCAAATATTATCAAATGTTATTTGAGATGGCCACTACTTCACAATATAAGTAATGCAGCAAAAAGAAACCCCATAATGGCAACTGATCTTTGATAATATAAAAAATCTCTGGGAACCAAAGCAAAGACCAGCAGGAAATCTTAATGAAAAAAAAGTTAAATAGGATAATGAAGAATTTGGCAAGAAGGTACAACTTGAAAAGTTACAATTATCTGAAAGCTAATCATGCAAGAAAAAGCCCAAAACAGATTGGTCAAGAAAGATATTATTTGTGAAGTAATGTGCACTAAGAGAAAAAAAAAGACAGACATATTGGTAAGTGAACGGATTCACCTGTTCCTGCTTCTCATGAAACTCCTCAATAAATGCACGCTTCTTCAAATTAAGATGCAGATACAGAACTTGTGAGGCTTTCTTTACTAAGCGCCATTTGAACTGATCAATAGAATTAATAAAATTAATTCATGACAATGTTTGTGATAATGTGTAACCATTTAAATTCAATTGAGCGTCTATGCAGGTTAAACTGTCCACACGGACCTAAACATATACCTAATACTGAAACAACATAAAGTGATGATGTCCAAGTATCATCCAACAACCAAACATGTAAAAGAACAGATATTTAGATTTGAATGGTAGCATTCCACAAACATTACCTAACAAGACAAAAGCCTAGAGCATCTAACTGCTAAATTAGCATATTGTCATACCCACTATATACTCTATTTGCAGCATTCATTACAAAAAGCAATATCCATTTTTGCATCAAATATGCAAGTTCGATAAACTTTGATTTCTCTGGTGTGTAGAACTCACATGTAATGAGCTAAATGCATTGATATGTTTAACTAATTCTCTCAATAGTTCACACTTCAGAATGTAGTGGATGATGTGTCTGGTATTTATGGTTTGATGCCCAACCAGTATGCAAATCAGGCAATTTCACCTTGTTCAATATAAAACTGAGCTTACCACCCAGTAAGTTCATTATACTAAGTTTATCAGATGATAAACAGACTGGTACCAAGCTATAGAGTGATAAACCTGTTGTCTGGTACAAGTAGCCAACCCTATTTTTGCTTTATATGTGAGACATGATAGCTGTCTCCTGATAGATGCATTGCTACCTCAAATGTGACGGCTGTCTCACATGTTTTTTGGTTCTCTTTAATATATTGTTGTCAATAGCTGATCAACTTCTCATTTTTTCATTCTTCTTTTTCTCCCCTCTTATTTCTCCTCCTCCAGATCACCATCCCCTCTACGTTGGCCAACTCCTCTCCTCCTCCTATGCCACCTCCTCATCCTCCTTGGCTGCATCATTAGCATGCATCGCCTCCACATCCTCTACCTCCCCTCTTCTCTCTCTTTCTCTATGATCCAAAGTAGCATCAACCAAGGATTGACGTACCTCCCGAAATGGTACAAAATGGGTTGTACATATCGGTCCATCAATTGACTATTATGTGAACTAGCCCATTTCAGGTAGTATGCAGGGGATAGGTCAAGCATCGACTGGTACAAGTGATGTATTGGCCAATATAGTCGAAACTGTTGTATCGGCTGATACACATCGATATCGATCGGAATTTGATCGATACCAATGTAAATTGGGTCGATTTTGAACCCAATGCTCAAATTTATTGTCGGAGCCTCTTTTGGGGCCTAGATCCCCCTCCCTTTCCCCTGGTCACTTACTCTCATCCTGACTCTCAGCCTCACTCTTTCTCACACTCTCACTTATGATTAAAGTTCCTAATCGGCGATTACTGATTAGTGGTAAATGGTAATCAAGTTATTGATTTGGATAAAAGAAGCAACAAAAGTCTAATTAAAGTCAAATTAGAATTACCTAATATCATTTTGATTAGTTTAGGCCCAATTAAGGGTCATTATATATAATTTGGGACCAATTAGGAGTTATTAGAAAGATAATTCATTTGCTCATCCTTAGAGCCTAGAATTTATATTCATCTATGCCTCATATACACTCAATTCTTATTTAAATACAATAAATATTACCATTAAATTAGGAATGAAAACCCTAAAATGGTCTTTTTTTTTTTTTGACCATTTTCTTCCCTTTTCCCAAAAACCGATAGCAACATACCAACATATGGTATGCCAACATTGACCGATACATTTCGGTCCGACCCAGGACCTATACCACTCGTCGGCATAAAACAATGGTCCTTGGTACCAAGGTATGCAATACCGTACCGTACCGGTATTTCGAGGTTGACTCGGTACGATACGGTACCAGCATGCCGAGCGGTACACCAGGGCATACCAAATGGTACACTAGGGCTTACCGAGCGATTACCTCTTATTGTAGCACTGTAGCACTGTAGAACTGCTACAGTGTATTACTGTAGAACTGAAGCACGGTCCGTCCGGTAGCGGGCGGTCCGCGTACCGGTATGCCATCAGACCAGTACATACCGCCCGTACCGGGCGGTACCATTCGAAATTGCATACCATGCTTGGTACCAACCAAAATCATGCATTAACTAGCACCATGCTAGTAGAGCTACCAATTAGTATCATTATCAGACTAAGGCTTTGATCCTTCATTTAGATTACAAAGAAAGTAATCTAAAAGAAAGATGAAGTCCGTAAAAAAGAATGGAAATGCAAAATATCTATGCAACTCATTATAATATTCAATCACAAAATTAAAATATATAAAGCAATCAAGAAATGAGTTGACTTTTATAAATATGTTTAATTGCCATTCAGAAAGCTTACCAATGGAGAATGAAATGACAATATGTAACCTAAGGTGACATCGACATGTATAGGAAAACTATAAATACATGTTATCCTTTAGATGTATGAGATAGGATGGTATATTTAGCTGATTGACTACTTCTAAAAGTAGAAGAGGGAGAAGTCCTAAGCTAATAAGCATATGCTCCTATAAGAACTTGGAGTGAGATTACATCCTTCTTCACTGCACCCATGCAATCAGCATTTGCATTATTTCACAAAAATGGGATAACTACACAAATTGGCCGCCGAATGTATTGAACATTTTTTGTCCGGTCAAGGTCTATTTTAAAGATTGTTGCATCATTGAATAAGCCGAGAAGTTTGGTGTACTTGAGTTCAAATCAGTTTAATGATCCATAGAACAGACTTGTATCCCAGAAGGCCAGAACTATACTTCTCTACAAAAATCTGATAAATCCAATAATGCTGTTTCCAAGGATGTTTAGTATATCTATTTCCTTCTTTTCACACACGTGAAATACCACTTAATTGCTCCCACACACAAATATACTTCAACAGTTATTCTTTATCAAATAGGTATTGTTGTGACAAATAAGTATTCAACATAACAGAAGTAATAAACCAAGAAACCAAACAATGAATTCTTGTATAATCTATACCTAAATGAAAATTCCAGATTTCAGTCTTCCAGGCCTTAAAATTTGACAGATAGATATTGAAATAAACTTTGATCATCAAATTTATTGGTCACCTTAATGAAAGTGGTAGCCCAAGCTATTCCAGTGTGCTAACCATGGAAAACAAATAAAATTATGTGAGTTGGAAAGGAAGTCCGATGATTTACAGCAAAATGGCATCCTCAAGCCATAGAGAATGAAACAGCACAAGTAAAACTATTGTTAGTGAGGCAAATGCACAGATTACTATCTAGCATCAAGAATGTTCAACACATCCCCTTATAAAATTGGGCATACCTAAATTTTTTTTTTTTTTGTAAACCGATGTTTAAACATATATTTTGAATCCGCAAAGCAAATTGGTTTGCTCGCTCCTTGCTGTCAACAAAATTCTATCTACAAACACGAGACTCAGATACTGATAAACTAATCGCCCACCAACATACCATCGAAACAACGAAGATTAAAATATAAGACGCAATTTTAAACTCCGAAAAACCGATTAAGCACAGATGAATCAGCCCCAATGAATACCCTCCACAACATTAACAACCGAAAAAAGAAAGAAAAAAAACACGAGTGAGCAACTTTAGCAAAAAAAGGAAAGGAAACAACTACCCGACGATGTATCAAGAAACAAAACCAGGAACACCTGTTTGTAACGGAATTCGATGGTGTAGGAGAGGAGCATGGGGCTGATGTCGCCGGCGTCGGGTCGGGACACGGAGACGATGTCGGCCTTGGGCAATTCGTCAAAGATCCGGGGCTGTTCCTGCAGCCGGAAGGAATGGGACGACGATACCGCGATTGCCGGCTCGGGATGCATCTTGACGTACCGGATCCCGCCTTCGGGCGGGAGCTGATCGGAGGCCATCCTTGGATCAAACAGAGTCCGCGTCTCGGGGGCGATCAAGGTGGGATTCTTTTACGCCGAGGAGACGACAGGGCCGGCTTTCGACGAGTTTTCGCCTTCGCCTCTCTTCCGCCTTTGTTTGGTTACTAATCTTGTGGACTCGAAATGAGATCGCTCCGGATCGATGGAAACCGGGTGTCGTGGCTTTACATCTGGGGAAGGACGGGAGACATGGGCGGTGCGTTTGGTTAATGGTTCGATTGGGGTTGGGATTGTGAAGATGTTGGTCGATTAGAGTCGGGATTAAGAGCTGGGAATTTTGCTAAATGGGGGCGAAGGGGTCCAACCTAAGAAACATGGCTGCTTTATATTTGGAGTCACGTGGGAGAAAGTTCTTGCCACCTTCTCGTGCAAAAATACCACTTGCGGCGGCTCCTTGTGTTTCCTGTTGAAATAAAGGGGCATTAAATCATAATATATGAGTAGGCCCTTCGATTGGAGAAATTGATTCACCTGGTCAAGTCATCATCATTTGGCCATGATTAGGGCAGGTAATAGTTACAAAATGTTGGAATTTGCTTGAAGTAGATGAGGTTGTCCTTTTTTCACTCTATTTGTTGAGATTAAAAGCCAATAGCTATTGCACATCCATTATTTATATAAGGCCATTGTAGTCGATTAGCCATTCACATGGCACTTGTAGATCCATTATTTATCTTAGGGGAAGAGAATATGTACAATCATGCAGGTTCAGATCCTTCCAAGCACCAACACCGTGAAGTGAATGGCTTGTTTGAACGATGGAAACAAAGAGATCATTTAAAGTGGTTCCGAAGTGCCCCATTTTATTTATTTCTTACATTAAGCTTAACCATGTTCTTACATTAAGCAAACCATGTTTGTACAGTACATACTATTTGAGAGCAGTTATATCATGACGTCAAAAGAGAATATTTTTTAATTAATTAAAAAAAGCTTTTATGTTTGAGCAATTCTAATAGAATCCTCTTTTTTATAGCCTGTACCCTCTAATCTTATTTGTCTCACAGGACTCATTATCGCTTTTACTTTTGCCTTTGGCCCTTGTTGAATCCGTCATCTCGCCTACCGCACAAGTGGTTAGTGTCATCGTCTGTAGCTCTCATATTAGAAATGAGGACGCATAAATGCCACTACCACCTCCACGCCCCTCCTTCACACGACAATGAGATGAGCAAGGGTTGGTTCATGATAGATCCGACAAAGCGAAGGAGATAGGAGGCAATGACGGGCGATGTAGGATAGAGGTGGAGGCAACTCCGACGGGAGTTAGGACAAATTTTTTTAAAGTTAGGATACTCTAATAGAATTTATTAAAGATAAAAAAACCTTTTTTTTTATATTCACCCTTTTGTTATAAGAATAAACATGAATTTTTTAAAAAATTATTATGTATTAAAAAAAATTTGTTGTTAATCCTCTAATGTCTATATGTTGGGGTAAAAAGTAGGATATTCTTTAAAAAATTAATAAAATTATAAAATAGTAAAATAAAATGATAATATTTAGAATGAACCTAATAAAAAAGAGTATAATTAACTAAAAAAGATAAGAGGAAGAATAATTTTTATTATTTCATAATTACATCAATCGATATGTTTAGGACTCTATTTATTGAGTCTACAAATATCTCAAAGGTAAAATTATACTGTTAATAAATAAAAAAATAACAAAGTTGGTGCTCCACTCTTATATACTATATGTTGAGTGAAGTAATTTGTAAATTTAAAACTTATAAAATTAAAATGTTACCTGGAACAAAGTCGAACTAGGTTGGGTCAAACTAGTCTAGCAAAGGTTTGAACCTAAACTACTACATTTCTGTTATTACGTTTTGGTTTTAGTTATAGCTTTGCCTCTTTATTGCTACACTAGTTCATTGCTTCTATTGATGAATATAAATCAAGATAGAAGCTGGTTATGGTTATGATTCTCGATGCACTCCAAAATCATCTGATTTGCACATGATACGTCTGCTCACGTATGAAAAGCGTATGAATTCTCTCACTCGTATCAAGGTATTTTATGCTTATTACACAAAAGTATTTGAGACACCCAACGTATCCTTAAGTATCTAATTTACACACATTGCTTCTATCTATAATTAAAAAGCATCTTAAGCTCTCCCATTATGCATGATACATCTATTCAAAATATTTCAAAATATTTCATAGATATCCTGCAAGCTAATCACATGAGTAATGACATATGTGACATAACATACAATCTTTTTACTTATTATTATTATAATATTTTTTCACTTTATATTGCTCAATGTATAAATATATTAGATATCCATGGGTTTGTGCAATGAGAATCAAATCGTGATGAGATCACGATAATGAGATCAATTCACCTTTAAGCATAGACTCTAAATAATCCTAGTCATAGGTTACTCGAGAGGGACATCGAGATAATCAGATAGACTAGTGTGCTATATACCCGTCCATATGATGGAAACGATTAATCCTTAGATTTGAGACACTAAGGATGTCCTGTATGAGTACTCCACTCTTTGATACCAAACTTATAAGTTTGAAAGTTTAAAATATAGTACAATCGATTATCGGGAGTGACAACCAATCTTACGAGGGCTATTGAGTATCGATAGAGGATCATCCGCTCTTGGTATCATGAGAAGAATATCTCATATGTTCTTACTTAAACAAATCCTTGGCTAAAGTCATTCAAATCGAGAGAGAAAGAGTTCTCCAGGAAAATCTGATTAGAGCGAGACTCGAGGAGAAACCGTGTTGGCCTAACAGCACTATACCCGGTATACGATCTCTAGGATATTATGTGAATGATGGACTATAGGTACATGGTAACTAAGGACAGATCGATCCAAAGGATTAAATTTCCTTGTATCGTCTAGGGACTATGGCGTAGTGGCCTAATACGTTCGCAGTCAATAAGTTGAGTAAATTATTATGGAGATAATAATTTACTAAGTTAGAAGGAGTTCTGTCACGCCCCTCAAAAATATCCATAATATTAAAATTTTCATCACAAACCAATCCAGGATCCAAACTAACATTTGAGGACACTGAAAAATATTCTATCAAATTCACATCTATAAAACCTGTGTAGTTTATAATCATATATCACATCACTCGATAATTCACATTTATGGCAACCCAAGCCAACTTGACAAACATGAACAACATTTATAAATCCACAAGCTAAATAAATTATACAATCAGAACTCCAATTATTCACCACAAATTCATATCATCATGAACTAGACTTAACATTCCGAAATTCCAAATAAGAGAGATCTTCTAACACTTTTACACAGTATATCCATTTTGATTCATCGACAATATTTCATTATATACAAAATATGCTTATACAACAATAACATAATAACCAACAAGACTTGCCCATAATTCTGAATAGCTCTTCACTGCCTCATCCCAATTCAAACATCTCAAAGAATGACAACTTGATCTGAAAGATTTATATAACAACGGAGTGAGCTAAAAACAGCTCAGCAAGTGACAAAGCATATTCAGAACAAAAGGAACGGTTTCAAATAAGTAAGATATCATAATGCAAGGCAGAATACAAGATTTCTCAAGGATACCATCTCATTAGATACAAAATCATATGTGTCATGTCATTCAAAATATATTTGATTCATAACAAATGGAGCATAGAGTAATTGGAGCATATCAATAGCGTGCGAGATGTTCCGGAGCATATCAATGGCAAATAGGACATTTCAGAACATATCAGTTCATAGCAAATGGAGCACAGAGTAATTGAAGCATATCAATAGCGTATGAAATGTTCCAAAGCATATCAATGACATATAGAACATTTCGAAGCGTAACAATAACAGATGAAACAGATAGAAGGTGAAGTGAGATTCCAAACATAATATGGTTCATCCATTTCTGAATGACCACCAAATATAATCTAGAGCATCGCAGGCTCTAAGCACATACCCTTTACCATTTCTGGCAAAGGTCCAAATAATCCCACAAACACTAGAGTACAAAAGGGTATTGTGAACAATAATTTGAGACAGTAGCAGATGAAGCATTTCGGAGCATATCAATGGCGTATAAAATGTTCCAGAGCATATCAATGACATGGAACATTTCGAAGCGTAGAAATAACAGATGGAATATTTCGGAGCATATCAATGGGGTATGAAATGTTTCGGAGCATATCAATAACAAATGAAATATTTCGGAACATATCAATAACAAATACCAAACAGAAGCTCAAACGTCGTATTTGACGTTACATTCATATCATTCTTATCCAAAGCATGTACAAAAACACATAACCAAAGCTCTGGATATCATATCAAACATACAAAAGGTGTAGTGGGACCACAGACAGAATGTGATTCATCCATTTCTAAATAACCACCAGACAGAAGTCTCCCATGTCTGGGAGGTCTCCCACGTCTGGGAGCTCCATCCACCCACGTCTAGGTGAAGTCAGAGGGGGCCGACAAAGCATCGCAGGCTCTATGCATAACTCCCTTTACCATTTCTGGCAAAGGTTCACAAATCCCACAAACACCAAAGTACAAAAGGGCAGTATGAACAATAAATAGCATATATCAGAAGCACACGCGGAATAACAAAACATAGATGTGCCTTTACGAGTCAATACGAAGTAAGCAATAATCTTTCACAATTGTATTCAGATTTAAAAGGAAATGAAAACAAGAGCATTCAAGGATTCCAAGCAATCACATATAACTCAATTCAAATAACAAGGTTAGATGAATTCAATGTCCAAAGGAATGAAACTGGAATAGGCACATATCGAAAGCAAATGCGGAACAATGGGATATACATGTTCCTATATGAGTCAATACGATATAGCATAAACGTTACACAATAGTTTTCAAGAATGCAAATAATTTTAAGGATAAGAGCATACAAGAATTCAAAGTAGTAATATAAAGCTCAATTGAATAAGAAAGCTAAAGGATATCAACTTCCAAAGGAATGAAACCAGAATATGCGAAATCAACCAAAGCTTGATTTCTAGTAGAATTCAAGAGGCACATTGAACAAATGATTCAAACTATCAATTGTGCTCCAATATACTCAAGAAAGCTATTGTGGAAAGATATTTCCATCTATTTTTAGATAAAACAAGTCTCGTATGAATCAAAGTTTCCAACAAAGAGTTACAATGGATTTAGTAACCCAAGATCAAATAACAAATCTTAATTTTACAGAATTCATAGGGTCGGTTTCAATAGAAAACTGGGTAGGCATTTGGACTCTAAATCTTTCAATCCAGGTATCAAAGAAAGA